GGTTTTGGGGGGGGGGGGACACACACAGCGGTGCCGGCTGCGGGAGCGGATCCTGCGTCTGCGGCGAGAGGGGAGAAGGGATGAGGGGGAGAGGGATGGATGGAGGGATGGAGGGAGAAGTGGATGGAGGGAGGGAGGGAGGGATGGAAAGAGGGATGGACAGAGGGATGGATGGACAGACGGACAGAAGGAGGGATGGATGGATGGAGGGAGGGAGGGATGGACAGAGGGATGGAGACGGACAGAAGGATGGAGGGATGGTTGGATGGATGGAGGGAGGGAGAGATGGATGGACAGAAGGATGGAGGGATGGTTGGATGGATGGAGGGAGGGAGGGATGGACAGATAGATGGATGGAGGAATGGCCGGAGGGATGGAGTGATGGTCAGATGGATGGAGAGATGGACAGATGGATGGCCAGAGGGATGGATGGATGGATGGATGGATGGATGGATGGATGGATGGATGGATGGATGGAGTGTTGGCCAGATGGAGGGATGGACAGAGGGATGGATGGATGGACTGACGGAGGGAGGGAGGGACGGATGGATGGAGGGAGGGAGGGATGGACAGACAGATGGATGGAGGAATGGCCAGAGGGATGGAGTGATGGCCAGATGGACGGAGGGATGGATGGATGGATGGATGGACGGACAGACAGACGGAGGGATGGCCGGAGGGATGGAGGGATGGATGGATGGATGGATGGACGGACAGACAGACGGAGGGATGGCCGGAGGGATGGAGGGATGGATGGATGGATGGATGGACGGACAGACAGACGGAGGGATGGCCGGAGGGATGGAGGGATGGATGGATGGATGGAGTGTTGGCCAGATGGAGGGATGGCCAGAGGGATGGATGGACAAAGGGATGGATGGATGGAGTGATGGCTGGATGGATGGAGGAATGGACAGATGGATGGAGGGATGGCTGGAAGGATGGACAGATGGATGGATGGACAGACAGATGGATGGATGGAGGGATGGCCAGATGGATGGAGGAATGGCTGGAAGGATGGACAGATGGATGGATGGACAGACAGATGGATGGATGGAGGGATGGCCAGATGGATGGAGGAATGGCTGGAAGGATGGACAGATGGATGGATGGACAGACAGATGGATGGATGGAGGGATGGCCAGATGGATGGAGGAATGGCTGGAAGGATGGACAGATGGATGGATGGACAGACAGATGGATGGATGGAGGGATGGCCGGAGGGATGAAGAGACACAAAGGGCCCAGCACACGCAGGTAACTCTTCCCTTGAGCCCCCCCCTCACCCCTCGGGGCTCCCCCCGGACCCTCCCCGCTGTGCTCTCGCCCCCCCCCAGACCATCTCGGACGCCAGCCCCATGAAGCGCTCGGCCTCCATGTTGGGCCACCCCCGCGGCCGCGGCATCCGCCTGGACGACTACTCTCTGGAGCGCGTCCCCCCCGAGGACGGGCAGCGGCACCACCAGCGCCGGCGCGACCGCGGCCACCGCACCTCTGAGCGCTCCCTCAGCCGCTACACCGACGTGGACACAGGTGGGACCCCCATCCTGCCCCCCAT